GAGACGCTGACGCCAGAGGAGATCCACAGAAGCATTATGGGATGGGGGCGGTCTACGGTCTACATTCGACTGAAGGTAGTTTAGACTCTGTAACCTTTGAGGTGGAACAGCACTTTTTTTTATTAAGCAGTATTTCTTTTACGTTGTTAGCGCTGAGTGTTTGGTTTTTTTTTTGTTTTTTGTTTTTCAGACTCAAGAGGTGCATCAGCCCAGAGAAGAAGACCTTCATCGTCTTCAAACTGAAAACATGAACTCTGTTGTCTTAACTAATGATGAGACCAGACAACAGACGAGGTAACTCACAAAAAAGCATCGCCTAGTGATGTAAAATTGCTCCAGTTCATCCCATTCGTGTTGGATTAGGTTGAGTTTACGACACAGCCACACCAAACTGGAAAAATATTTTATTAAGGTTCTGGTTTTGTAAATTTGGAGATTATCATGTTTCAATCTGGAAAGTGAGACGTCCCAAACATGTGTCAGTGAGGCGTCATGTGAGTAGTGAGGCATGAAATATAACCAAAGAAATGCGAATGGAGTACCAAATTGGTGGATTTGAAGGTTTCTTGGATGCTAAAATCCAGTCATCTGGAACCCATTTTCTAGTATGCTGACTTAGTCACTGGAGCAAGTGTCAATTTTTGGGGGTATCATTGAATAGCCAGCAGATATCCAAGCTAGGGCTTCCTGTTTTGTTCACCAGCCAGCCTTTACAAGCACAAAGTCATTGTCAGCTGATGACCACTTTTGGTGGCTTTTGGGGGCTTTTGGTGACCCTTTTTGTCCAGTGATTATTTAGTCCAATCAAAATTTAGGCTCAGCTGGAAGCAGCATGTCTTTTAACTGTAGCCAAGTTACAAATTAAGCTTGCCTCAAATTAGTCCATGTAAGTGCAGAAAAGGTACTTAAAGCGAACATCTTTCATTCTGTCAGTCAAAAAGTGGACTTGGCAGCCACTTAAAGTTCTGGAGCTTATGTGCCTTAAACTCTTTCTAACTTTGGTTAAGGGCAGTATTAGACTTGAGATAAGATTGGTGAACTCTCCACAGTGAACTTTGCCTCTTGCCCCACTCGGACTGTAAACTCGACCACAATCTTGAAGAAAATGCATGGATAATGGCGTATATCCAGCTTTTTGTGACTCTCGTGCGTTTTTCACGGTGCGTTTTTCACGGTTAGCAGATTGTTTAGTCTGTCTGCTTCGAGAGGAGTGGGCAGAATATGCCTCAGCCTAGAGTGCCAAGGAGTGCAAGAACA